ATCCGAAAGGCTTACCTCAAAGTCATTAAAAAAATAGAATGGTCATTTATCAGACATATTGCCAAATTCAATTAAATGAATTTACAGTATCAAGTTCAATCTTATAAAAACAAAATCAATTATTTCTACATCTGTATGTAAATTAATTTTGTTTTCCAAGCCTGTTCTGAACCGGAGGAGATAAGTTGGTGTCAATTATAAGTTTGACCTAATGTCAAAAGATTGCTGTGCCTGTTGTCTAATATTTAGTTGCGTTGTCAAGGGTGCTATGGTTCGCAGCATATCATGCTATTTGATGTCTGGTTGGTACTAGAGTGCTTGAGTGGCAGACGCAGCGTGGTTGTGTTGTCGGTTACGAAGTAGAAACTCCAACGGCAAGTTAACACTGTCGAAGAGTTTAGTTTCACTGCACATCTGTCCACAAGTAGTAGGCTTAGGCTTGGAATTACATGAATAATGATAGTTTCCTAATCGGACTATTTCCTGCTCAAAGGACGGTCTCTCTATACAAAAATACGACAAGGTCCAGAAAACGCAAGCTCTCTACATCCCTCAAATCGTTCTCTCTGATCTCTCAATAACTCACACACTCACAGTATTTATACTCACTCTGAAACACTTACAGTATTTAATACTCACTCTGAAACACTTACAGTATTTATAGTCACTCTGAAATACTTGCAGTATTTAATACTCACTCTGAAACACTTGCAGTATTTATACTCACTCTGAAATACTTGCAGTATATATGAAATATACTTTTGCATGTTATTGTTTTAAAATTTTCATTAAAGGTGTATGCTAAACTCCTATTCTGAACAAATATTTTACCGCGTTAAGACAGGAGGCGGGAGGGAGTTGTTTATGATCTCTAAAGGGATTAAACATATTTGAGAACCATTGCTCTACACGAAGCTCAATTGTCTCTTGGTAGATCGATTCTCTCAATCGTGACACAGTTGTAACTACACATAAACACCGACCACGTTGATATCGATAAAATCAATGTCCCTGATGCATGTCGAAATCGATGAAGCAACTTTGCATTGGCAGTCAAGCGTGGGATTCAATGTAAGAATCAATTGTGATTTAGTTTGATTGATTTTAAAACAGATAGATTTTACTTGATCTAAGTTGTTTCGTAAAGAACAAACCAGCCATCCATACAAGTGTTTCGACAGTAACGTTGTTTTACTGTGAATCTGTCCCGGGGCAGTAGGCAATAAGTTCTATTGATTTCATCAAGGTTATAGAATATTAAGTTTAAACAATTTTGTCAGCGGTAACGGCAACAAAATGCTGACCAGCCAACACTGGAATTTTAACAAATATCTGACAGACCAACGTTGAAATTTTAACAAATAATTACAGACTAAAATTGGACTTTTAACTTTTACAAATATCTGACAGACCAACATTGGACCTTTATCTTTAACAAATATCTGACAGACCAACATAGGCGTGGTAACCAACAGCTGACAGATCAACATAGGCGTGGTAACCAACAGCTGACAGATCAACATAGGCGTGGTAACCAACAGCTGACAGACCAACATAGGAGTGGTAACCAACAGCTGACAGACCAACATAGGAGTGGTAACCAACAGCTGACAGACCAACATAGGAGTGGTAACCAACATCTGACAGACCAACATTGGCGTGGTAACCAACAGCTGACAGATCAACATAGGCGTGGTAACTACCAACTTAGCTTTTAAGTTTCTTTAACAACTCTGCAGGTAGACTTAAGCCGGGCATAAATGTTAACATGACCTCACGGTCGCTTCCTTGTTAGTAGAATGTGCGATCAGAAAAAAATAACATGTGGATCGAATTTATTGACCAGTGAAAAAAGATCGAGCAACTCAAGACCTAATGCAGGTAAGCAACCAATGACATATATTAAAATTAAAAATGATATTTATATTGGCACAATTATTATTAAGCTATTAACGTTGCCTGTTTAATTAACGTAAGGACACAATGTTATGATAAAGCAAAATGTCAACACGAACAAATATTACGATAATTCTGACAGCTCTCTGGTATGTCATGCAGCTCAGTAGTGATGCATCGTGTCTTATGTTAAGTGCGGAATAGTGTAGGGAAGCGGTCGCCAAACTTTCAAAACCTCACCGTCAACTAAATGCATAATTTAATATCACGCGGACCACCAATGGGAATTTTCTAAAAAGATAATTACATTTGTAAACTATTGAACAGAGAGCTTCCAGTTTATTGATATGAATTTAAGAAATGAACCTATTTAAAATCAGCAAAATTGTGACAGCTCATTTTAGTCATAACAAAATCATTAAAGTTAAAGGTTGTTTGATGGTGAGAAAATTATTAAAGTTAGCTTAATAAATATTTCAGCATAGTTCTAACTTATTTCAGACCATATCATATGTTAGTGTGATATATTTTTTCCTGCATGTTTGCAAGAAGTTTTGGCTTTTCGCCTCCAATGATGTTATTGCAAGACAGAGAGACGTGTTTTAGTTCAAGCCGAGACCAGAACTGAGTTTTAATTACTGTGACAGATGAAAATGTCTTCTTCTTTTTTTTTCTTGCACCAATGTGTTGTCTCACAACCCACACGACTACTCAAGAATGTTATCTTTTTTTCTGTAGCAGTAAATTAAGATTGAGATCCGGCAGTAAATTAAATGGAGCAGATTGTATACGAGTTCCCTTTTTTTTTTTAAGCAGAAAGTGTTGGGTTTTTTTGTTTTTTTGTTATAATAAAACAATAATAAACTCTAATTAGTGTAGCACCATCAAGAATCACATTTTATAGGCGTCTGCAAACAGTTACATCTATTTCTAACAGAGCTTCTTGTTTGCACCAGGCTCTGGATGTAGGTGAATTTAAAAGAATGGAATGAGATATAGATATTATATTTAGGCCAATATATGTAAGAATGATCTCTACTGACGTAACTGCTAAGAATAGATAAGATTTAAGTACGGTCGGATTCCTAAAAACAATCATAATTATATTCTATTATTTTACGGAAATCGAATTTATTTAAATGCGCAAAAAATATTTTAAATACGCTTTTTTTTAGTAAAAGTTTAAGTATTATTATTATAAATTACAAATACATTTAAAGAATCAACTAAGGAACTATTTTAAACATCATAAATGTGGCTGAAAGTTTGGAAAAATAAAAAAAAATAAAAAAATCATGATCAAGGAATTAAACCGTAATCACATTTATCGGGAAAACCCAAACATCAATCATTTTTTAGTGCGTCTTTTAGTGCGTTGTTCATAGTGCGAAATAAAATTAAAATTAAGTTGTTCTAAATAATCACATAAATGACGTCATAGTGCGAATAGCCTATTTCTCCAAAACTTGTAGGTTTCTTTAAATTTAATAACCGCGCTTGACAAAACTGATAATGTATTTTCTCTTCTGAAAAGTAAAATTAATAAATACAATTGATTGCTTTTTAAATTGTTAATAAAAAAACACATATACATTTTAGCTTTGTATATTTTAACATTTAAAAAGTGTTTCCTTTTTTAATTCCAAAAATATACTTTTATTAAATTTATAACGTAATAAAAATTAACCTTTAAATATAATTCTAATAAGAAAATGACGTTTAAGTCAATCAGTGCAGCGAAACTCCTCATCCAAATAGCATTCACTAATCCACTTAGAAACTCATCCAAATAAGAACAACCATATGAAGAGCAGAATAAGTTAGTTTGGGTATGGAAGGGATTTCAATCCAGTGGAAGATTGTATTAATTTTAATTAAACAATCTTGAGGGGGTGTGGTTATTTTGCTCCAGTCAGCACAAGACAAGTCTCAAAAGAAATGAATGAATTTGATAAATAATTAACCTCCTTGGGTTCATACATATCTGAGGTAGTAATTAGGATGTGTACATTTTTTCATGGATAACAATATATTTAAATCCTATGTATTACTTTTGTGATAAAAGAGATGTTAGATTCTCTTTTTTCAAAGAAACATAATATTTTTACCAGTTAAGAAAATCAACGGCGTTAACAAAACGTGGGGACATGTATATAATTCTACCCATTAATATCAAAACCCAATCATTTTCACACTTGAAAATTAAATTTTGAAAAATGGATATGGGGTAATATTTTCTTTCAAAAAAAATAATAAAATATTTTTTGTTTTTACTTTGCGAAAATTAAAGTGGGTGTAAAGTTTTATGAGGTTAACAGTTTATTTTTTTTTTAAAGACACACAAGTCTGTTATGGACGTGAAAAACGGTTGCGAGATTCTTCTTTAGAAAAAATAATTCTTTGTTTTACCATTTTCTGATAATGTATTTTTTTTTTTAAAGGCAGAAATTGTTTAAATTTTAATAAAGATATCAATATATATCGAATTCCTATAATATAAAATATATTTATATCATAAATAGAGTTTTTGTTGTAAATTTAAGATTTGGTTTTTTAACAATTTTTAGAGGAAAAAAGTTGTAATTCAAGGGCACGAAAAGGGGTAAATCTAAAGTATTTCTCTAGCGTAATAATTGTCACTCAATTAACTTCTTTAGTGACAAAAGTGATACAATTAGTGATACATTTAGATTGTGTAATTAAAGGTCATGTTTAGGGGGGGGGGGGGGGGGAGGGAGTAGTTTAGGAGTGTGAATGAGCGTCAAAACTTAATAATGTTTGAAGCGTAAATATCATTAATTTTTTTAAGCCATGAATTGTGATGAGCTATTGCAATAGCAGTTAGAAATTATCGCAAAGGACCTGCCAGTATCATCCCGATAACATCGGGTCTTTTATTCTAGTGTTATTAAAGTGTTTTTAATGCTCCTTAAGTCATGAACAGCGTAATAAAGTCCCTGTTTTTTTTACTCATTAGATGATAAAAGAAAAGAATGCTGAGTCTTACGTATGATGACTTCGACTCCAGGATCGACAGCTTCCCTTGCCTTTTTAACCACATCCCAGTGTACAGGAGCGCTAAGATCAAGGGAATCAAAATCAAACTCGAGAATGAGCTGGACGTGGATGACGACAGCCTTGAAGAGATTATTGAGAAGCTCAACTTTTACACCTGGATAGAGTTTAATCTTGACGACAGCGCGATGGCGCACCAACACAACCAGTCGGTTTTTGATTTGACGGCAGGGAAAAACATCACCTGCCTTGTGAACCGCGCCCACATATCGCGAAAGAAAGGCGATGAAGTGCGGGCTGAGCAGTGTCTAGCGCAAGCTGAAAAATTACGAATCGGATCCGATGGTGAAAAACTGATGACGGAAGTGGACGCTGAACTAGCGTACTCCCTGAGTAGGTTAAGCGGTGCTGAATATCTTAACCGCGCCATTGAACTGTACACCGAGGTTGTAGCGAAGCAGCCTCATTGCTACGCTTGGAAATTTGGACTAGGTTTACTACACAGACGAGCCACCCATAGAAATGTATTTTGCTCCCTGGCTTCAGATAAGACAATTCTAGAGCATGTCGAGAAAGCTGTGGAACTACTTTATGATGTGGCTCGGAAATCTACGGATTTGAATCTTAGAGGCCGGGCCTATGCACAGCTGGCGGTTGTGAGGAGCCAATCAAAAACTTGCTTCAGTCAATCTGATGGCACTCGTTTATTTGGTGAGGCGAATGTTAAAAGCCTGATTGAGAAAGCTCAGAAGTATGGCTCAAATGATGCGTGGACACTGACTGAATGTGGCCGGATTATCCGGTACACAGATTTGAACTTTGGTACTTTGCTCCTTGAAAGATCATTGTCCATTAAAAAGCATTCAGCTACTTTGCACCATTTAGGCATGTGCTATGAAGAAAATGCTAAAAGGACAGCTAAAAGGGAAGCTAAAATGTGGAATCGAAACTACGGAGCATCTCAGCAAACCTGTAGACGTCAACCTGAGAGATTTCAAGCTGAGATTCCCGAGTCGTCCGCCATGAGATATCCTGTTAGTAAATTTCCTCTCAAAAGTGACGATCCTTATGTAGTTATAGCCATTGATTACTACACGCAAGCCATAGATATTTCATATGACTGCAACAATCCGGCTCGATTCAGTCTTGGGATTTTATTGAAGAAATGTGGAGATCTTGAAGAAGCCCTCAAGCAATTTAACCGAATCATTCACCTGACGTCAAAAAATGACGGAGCAATCAGCAAACGAAGCGGTGAATGTTCAGAGTACCTTCACACAGTGACCGCTGCATACGAGCAGGCTGGACTTTGTCTTCTTGAGCTTGCAAGACACCCTGGGAAAACAGAGGCAGAAATAAGCAAATTAAATGAAAACGCGGAGAGAAAACTACTGAAGGCCGTGAGTTTGTCCACCATTCTGTCTAGACATGACTCTGTTGGGAAACGGCCGAACAAACAAAAGTGGAACGCGTTCAGAACTCTAGAAACAAGATACAAAAGTGACGAACATTCGCCAGAAGTTATAAAGAAGTACATAGACCTGCTAAGCCGCGTGAGTCGATACGAAAAGATTCCCGAGGTTATCGAGAGACTCCGAAACATGTGTGAAGGAGATTTGGCGGACCCGCGTGTCATCAAATCAGGACTGGAAAGCTACTTGGCTTTAAAACAGTATGAAGCAGCTTATGTGTTTCTTCTTACCTACGAAACATCCCCACATTTCGGGGAGTGCCCTGCGCAGCTGAATTGGATTATTTTAAAAGTTCGCCTGTGCTTTGCGGCTGCGCTTGACTGCAGTGCTAAATTGATCTTGAAAATTTGGTTTGATTCGTACATTGCGGAGAATAACGAACTAGATAATGACGACGGTGAAAGAGCCGAGTTTACATTTCCTCGAGGAAATGACGTACTGGATGTTTTGATCGTCGGTGACGAAATTGGCGAGGAAGCAGCCGAAACAGAAGAAAGCGTTAACAAGCTACAGCAGATCATCTCTGATGATTTTGGCCTGGCCGTCGATAACATAAGAGACGCTGTAAGTAGATTTTTTTTTTTAAAGACACAATGTGAGATCGCTTTATCAAGCCTTTAATGGGATTTTAAAGTTCACTCCCAATGTCTTACACCATTGAAATAATATCTCGTAGCAACAGTCCAACATTTCTAAACATCCACTTATGGATAGGTTAAGTGTTAAGAGGATCAGAGGACTCACAAACGATCGGGGCGTTCACTTACTTAACTACCTAAGTGTCTCCCATTTCCCGCCCCGGAGTATCAACGGGCGATCTATCAGGGGGAAGAATCGTCATGGGCTCCTCGTAGGAATCATCAGAGCTTCCAGCTGCGGTACTCCTCTCATGGCTACAGATTCCGCTGTGGGCACTCCTGTCTCTTAATAGTTTTCGAACTAAATGTTGGGTGAATTCATCACAAAACATGAATAAGTTAGCTTACGCTAGCACGCCTTTCTATTATTTACCAGCAAACAATTTTAAGAGCTCAATGCGGTGTGTATTAAACTGAATGCACTTTGGGATTATATTTCAAACAGTGTGTTGCTTTCATCGGATTTCTGAAAATACATCCGGGTTTTGAGACATTAAGAATTAAGCTGTATTTTTTAAATCCTTTACTACATTAAATTTGCTTTTGTTCATTTGTTTCTTTATTTAAGGCAAATTCTTCGGATGGCTAATGACCCACTTCCTGTCATCCTATCGAAATGAAACTTTGCACATTGACTCGTTGCAGAGGACAACATATTCTATAAATTTTTCAGCCCCACCCCCAAAAATAAGTTTCTCCCTGTTTTTTCAAGGGGAAGCCGAATCAAATATAATTTTATCAATGCTTGCATGCTTTGATTTAGAGATCAATCTGTAGCTTTTGTTATGTGCTTTGTGTTTGTGACGCATTTGGGTGTAAATATATCTTTAGTCCATTAGGTATTACATGCACTACGTTTGATTACCATTACCATTCCAAAACTCAGTGGCTACAATAACATCAATGATCAATCACGCACAATTACATAATTGCAAACAAAAATGCTTATACAAAATTTATACGAAAAACTGTTGTTTAGGGGTTGTTTAATTTTCTTAATCAAACTTATTGGTAAATCCGGCTCTACTGACTCAATTTTGTATTACTACATTTCTGTAAATTTAAATTCTCCTATCGTATGTTTATCTACAGGTGCCGAATTCTGGGCGTACACTGTTGAATGAATTACAGTTACAAGAAATAGCAAAAGCAAGAGTGGTCCTCGTGTTATTAGGGGAAACACAGTCCAGGTTAGACTTATTTAGAATTTTACAGATACGTGTAGCTTAACTTAAGCGTTTAATATTATAGAGTTGTCCTCCATACAATAGATAAAAAAATATGTCTAGAAATTATATTTCTTTCGTTCATAACATGTGTACACAAAAATTAAGACAAATGAAATAAATTGCTCCAGAATGGCAAAGGTGAGGAGGGTGGTATTGTTGTCTGTGTTCAATTGTTGTGGATATATGATGTTCTGTGAAAGGATGTCATTCTGGTATTTGGACCTTTCAGTTGGTATGCCATCTTGTAAAATTTAGAATGTTGACCTTTGCAAATCGTGGGCTCCCGACAACATGTGGCGAATACAACTATCATGTATTTTAAAGAAAATACTAGAGATAATAATATAAAGTTTGTAAAAAAAAATATAATTTTTAAATCTTCTTTTTTGGCTGCAGACTTTTCAGCAGTCTGCTGGAATTTATACCAACCATCATAATAGATTGTAGAGAAAATGGCAGACCGGAACCGAAAGTTTTGCTTGGATTAACAGACGATAGAGGGAAAATTCCACCTTTATTAAAGAAATATAACCAAATCGCTCTGTGGGATATCTTGCAGAGAATTCAAGTTTCCTCAGAAGAGCTAGAAGGTGTCGAGTATCCTACGATTATGCACCCTGACACCAGAAGGCTAGAGGCGTCAGGCGCGTGCCATTATGATTTCTCAGGCGTTCCGGAAGCTACAAATGTGTATCCTAGTGACTGTCTTGTTGATACAGTTTCCCAGAGTTCAAGTTCAAGTGGAGAATTCGATGATTGCATCACAGCCAAGATGTCACTTTATTGCTGGCTAATTAACAAGGAATGTCCTTTGTGAAAATAACAACTTTTTTGCTATTTTGCTTAAGGAAAAAAAATAATCTTTTAAAAAGTACATCGAAAGTATAAATCATTGTACAAGTTCTTTGTTGTTGTTTTGGCGATGTACAGCGTCTTAAAATGTACTTTTTGCAATGTTTAAATGTTGGTTTATATATATATATAAAAAAAGTAAATATAAAAAAGTGTTGTTTTTCTGATTACAACTATTCATCAAAACCATATAAATTATTGGTTGGGGGGGGGGGGGTGTTTAACAACAAAAAACACTTGTTATGTGAGGGGGGGGGGGGGGGGATTCTTTGAGTAATGAGCCACCGTTTGGCTTCGAAACAATAACTACACAAATTTTGCATCATTCAACAGTCACTCCTCATACAATAAAACCCATACAATTTGGAGCGATTTGACTTGTGACTTTTTTTTTTACCTGTCTAAAACTATAAACAGTAGGAGCCTTGACAAATAAAAACAAACTCTTTTTATGGTTTGTACATATTTTTCTTGACGCATATTTCTACAAATTCCTATGCTGCTCACCGGTTAGTCTTATAATCACCCAACATAGGTAATTTATTTTGTGGGCCAAAGACAGCAAGAACCTATTCAAAAACAAAATAATAAGGGAATCCTACTTGGACAAGCCCCAGTAGCTTGCAGCTCACCTCTTGCTTGAAACCTAATGTAAATCTGTTTATTTAATGTTGCTCTTAGTATTTAAACATGACTATGTTACATTATGAAAGTGTCATCTATATTTGATGGCTAATTAATTTTAAAATGAGTCTGTTGTTTTTGTTTATTATTTGTAGCTGAAATCTTTTTCTCAGTTAAAAATGTTTAGCCTACTTATTTTAATACAATCTCCGATAAATATTGTTGTAATTTGTCATTACACAAATCAGTTTGTGATTGAACTCTTGTCATATCAAACACAAACATAATTGACACAGTTATAATCCTTTATTGCACTATAATTTACAAGTAACTAGTTCTCTGATAACTGATTACTAGATTCCTAGTACATGCCATGGGTCGCCATCTACATCCTCTACTCAAGCGAGATAGCTGTTGGCGTTTTTAAAATATACAATATTCTTGAGTAGCATCCCTTCTACGACGTTAATCCTCGCTAACAATGATCTCTGTCGATCGATATACAAAGTCTCAGAGCCAAATAATTTATAATGATCGCCACGACAGTATGAATTATAGTACCGTGAAGATCGTTATTTTGCTCTGAGACTTTGTTTAATATTACCATAACATGTAACATGAGACCTAATATTTTCAAGTTGCATGCATAAATGATATTTTATATACCGCGTTTTGACTTAATAATGTGAAAACAATTCCATCGAATATCACCCACCCACACCCCTAAAAAATATGAAGAGCTTTTAAATTCCAGTTTAACACTACTAAATTGTAGGGTTAGAACCACCACTGGTGAAAAGAGTTGCCCCCCTCCCTTTCCCCCTTCCACGGTAACAATTCTTCAGTAGGCTTAAAATGTAGCCCCCTCCTTAAAATGACAAAAAGTTTCCCCAGGGACATACCGCCCCCTACGTCCTCCCTTTCCACTGGCACTACCAGCCCAAACATTTGAAATGCCACCTTAGAGCACATCGTCTTTTAAAAAAAAAAAGAAAAGAAAAAAAGAAACACCTCTTTCCTCTTTCTCAATCCTCTCCTCACATCAGTTTAAAATCAATTCTCAGCACCTAATAAAAATGCAATTTTTCTCCATCGCATATCCTCCAATACCTCTCCAGCCAATGGCCTTCCAACACCACTTTCCGACAAGGCTTACTTCCAAACGTCTCCAAACACCACCGTCTGACAGGCAGTTGCTATCACTTACCTCCAAACGTCTCCAAACATCACCGTCTGACAGGCAGTTGCTATCACTTACATCCAAACGTCTCCAAACACCACCGTCTGACAGGCAGTTGCTATCACTTACCTCCAAACGTCTCCAAACACCACCGTCTGACAGGCAGTTGCTATCACTTACCTCCAAACATCTCCAAACACCACCGTCTGACAGGCAGTTGCTATCACTTACCTCCATTTTTTTTCTCTCAACATCACTCTCTTCCACGACAGTGATCTAGCCTTACAATGGTATGGAGATCTCGTAATTCTTTATACCGGGGTATTATACTATTATTATTCGTTTTGAAAAATGCTATTTAATAGACTAATAACGTGCTAGTCGATCGGACGCCCTTTATTACATGTTAATTTATTTATTTATTTCTCTTCCCTCTCAACATTAAAGGCTGACTTAACTTACTCTTACCCATATTCTATCCTCTGTAGCCTCTACGAATCATTCAACTAATCTCGCAAAAGCTGCACAATTAACATATCATTTTGATATTTTTATGTACACTTCTGTTGGTTTATTATTTTTATTTCAAATAGAATTAAAGAACTTACAAAATGATCTTGTCACTTTTGCTTATAAAACTTAACTAAAATTTAAACATCTAATTTAACATGTTAATGAAGAAATTGTGTGTATATATATATAATATTTATAATTTCTTCATTAACATATATATTTCTTAAATACATTTTACAAGTCG